TAAGATCCATTTTTTCCTTCATTGCAAAATGGAGGAACAAACTGGACAGACACGGATATCACTACGGTGACATCCGTTCTGTACTGCTCCGATCAGCAGGGGATCCGTACACAGATCCCCTGCTGATCGGAACCCACAGGTACCCGTGTGAAAAAGGCCTAAAGGCCCGTAGTTCATGCATCATTTTTCTCCGATAGCACTGGACTGCAACGCAGGCACTTATGTGCTACGCATTCCGGTGCGGCCGATTGCACTGCACGCTGGGGACTTGGCTGCGGTGCCATTGACTTCAATGCACCCACACACCCCCTCTCGCCCCAGAACGCAGGGAGCCCTCCAGCATGTGATACAATGCGTTCCAGCAGCTAACCGAGCTGGAACGCACTGTATATGGTGTGAACAAGCCCTTAGTGACGGAAGATGGGACACCTTTTCCCTAAGATGAAGTATAACCACAATTTACTAAATTGATAATTGCCCTGTGTTCAAATATCACATAAAAAGGGGAATTTGCTAAATATGATGTTTTTAGGGATACGCTGCTGTTACAAGGTATATGTTAAACTTGTCATCAGACACAATATAGGGTTAGAGACCCATGAATTACACTGTATTATATTAGGCAGAAAATATGTGTTATTAGACAGACATACATAATATGTATTCTATTAGACACTGTCAGCAAAGTGCTCTGAAAGCTCATGTTGTTTGGTTCTTGTATTGCATTATTTTGTAAATTATGTTTTTATTAAGTTTTAAAATAATATATCCAAACATTTACATTGAGGTTTTATGTACAATAAAATTGTCAATACATTTCCAAATATATAATGAGGTTATAAACCCTGTGGGAGGGGAATGAGAAAGGGATAATTCAGTGATGATTTCCTGTGGGAAAACCAATTAGTAATTTTGGAATATATAAATGTGAGACAATTACAATAAAGATGTTTTGTTGGTATGGATATATGTATATGAAATGAATAAAGTATGATTGTCATTTTTCAATGAATATTTGAATACAAATAACCTTTTAAAAACAAAATTGCCCATAGACATTAGATGAGTGTCTCCTGAAATGGATTTTATGGTCCTTTAAGTATACATCAGAGTGTTGGATAACATCTTTTGATTCATTATTTCCGTGTAAAATATATAATTAGAGGCTTGTTTTATATGTAGCATTGTACAAAATATATACTGTGTACTTCATCATCCTTTCTATGTATCTTATGTTATCCGTACCTGTTACATACACTGCCTGTCCAAAGAAAACCCCACACTAAAAATGTGATGTTGGACCGCCTTTAGCTTTGATTACGGCATACATTCGCCATGGCATTGTTTCGATAAGCTTATACAATGTCACAGTTGTATTATTTTTTCACCAAGAGCTTGTAGTGATGATGGGAGAGTCGGACCTCTGTGTAAATTCTTCTTCAGCACATCCCAAAGATTGTCAATGGGGTTAAGGTCTGGACTCTGTGGTGGCCATTCCATGTGTGACAATGATGTCTCATGCCCCCTGAACCATTCTTTCACAATCTGAGTCCGATGAATCCTGGCATTGTTATCTTGGGATATGTCCAATGTGCCATCAGGGAAGAAAAAAATCCCTTGGTGGAAAATCCTGGCCATTCAGTATATTCAGGTAACAGCTGACCTCATTTTTTGAGGGACTTCACATTGCTGAACCTAGAGCTGACCAACTAAAGCAGCTCCGGATCATAACACTGCCCGAAATCCAGGTGGTGACTTTTGTTTGGGACAGGCAGTGTACGTTTAAGTAATACACAATAAATAGAAAGCGTACGGCCATTGTGATGTACCCTCTAACAAAACGTTATCAAAACAACAAAGTCTTGTAATCTGTGATCACCGTTGCCTTAAAGGAGAACTATGGGGTTAAGGCTTTTCCCCATAGTTCTCCTTATGGTAACGGGAGGACACAAACTAGCATCCTCCCGTCACCCTAAGCTCAGTCGCCGCAGCTGAAGCGGATCCCGACAATTATGTCTGGATCCGCCCAGCTGCGTGAGTGACAGCTGGCTCTGCTAATCCATTCACTTTGGGCCGCGATTCGCGGCCCAAAGAAGTACATGTACTTGTTTGGGCATCAGCCGTTTTGTAGGGCGTTCAGACGGGCGGAAATACGGAAAGGTGTGAACCATACCCATTGAAAACAATGGGATTTTCATGGTTGTACGTTTTGTAGAGCGTTCATAGAGCGTTGAACGCCCGACAAAACGGAAAGGTGTGAACGGGGCCTAAGAATGTTTCGGGAGTTTATAAGAATAAAGCATATGGACAGTACAGTGGTTAGCACTTCTGCCTTGCAGCACTGGTTCAGCCAGGGCACTATCTGCATGCAGTTTGCATGGTCTGCCTATATTTGCAAGGGCTTCCTCCCACACTCCAAAGACATGCTGGAAGGTTAACTGGCCCTGTATATATGTGCAATAGGCACCTTAGATTGTAAGCTCCTTGAAGGCAGGGACTGATGTGCATGCACAGTTTGTAAAGTGCTGTGTATATTGTCGGGGGTATATACAGTAAATACCAATAATATGACCCGCTAAATGTTTCTCCTTCATTGGGGGAAAAGGTTGGGGCCCCTTCACACCAGCAGGCGCATAATTTGCAGGCTGATGGGCATTGTTTCATTGCAGTGCTTGTCTTTTTAAAAAACTTTATTTGAACTGCTCTATTTGATGTGCAGCAGCGCATTGCCGCTCGTTGTGCTAAACCTTGTTGCAATAAAATGGAAGTCTGCGTCATTTTATGGCAGTGCACACCAAAGTGGCAGGTTTTTGCCTTGCTTTTGCATTGGGCAACGTTGCCCATCGGGCCTGGTGCGTACAAGCCCTTAGAACTCCTTTCGGGTATTTATTGCTATCCCGGGCTGTATTGGAGTATTTTCTCCTCACTTCCTGTACTCCTGACATTGTTTTACCAGACAGGAAGTGAGGGGAAATCTCCCCAACAGCAGCAAAGATAGAAATACTTTTTTTTTTAAGTAGAACTCCTGTTAGATTTGTATTTCTCTCTGTGTTCCTGTTGGAGATTCTCTCTCACTTCCTGCTTAGTTGTCACCTTGACAGTAAATGAGGGAATCTTTATAAAGGTGCCCAATGCCCATACACTTTACAACCCTCGCAAGACTTTTGTCTTGCGAGGGTTGTAAAGTAATTAAAAAAACGTACGATCTGCCCATCTTGGACAGGCTGATCGTGGTTGCGATCATCACAAGCCCGACCCGCTGAAGGGCGGACTTCCGATGACCGCAATGCTGAACGGGCAGTGTGCGCTTGCGCACACCGGCCCGTGCGCCAGTTATCTCACGATCATGATTCAAACCAGCCGAAAAACGTACGATTCTCGGCTGGTTTTCGAACATGCTCGAAATACAAAAGTCGTGCGACCGTACAGTAGAAACGGTCACACGCCTTCCATACACTGCACCATTATCGTACGATCGCGGGCATTTTTCCACACGTTTTCCGAGTGTCCCAATCAATGGGTGCCTGCATGAGCAAGAAATGCACAATGCAAATTCTTCTACATGTATCTCCAATGTTTTCCCTTGTGCGTGCCAATGGCCGCATGAGGCTCGGTTCACACCTAGGCGATTCAGATGCGGAGCTGCTTTCGCATGGTTGTCGCGTGTTTTCGCGCGGTTGTCAATGCATAGAGATGTCTATGGGACCCAAACCGCATGACAACCGACCGAAAATAGCTCGTGCACCTTTTCGCGCAATAGGCGATATCGGTCACGCGACAAACCGCAAAGGTGTGAACAGCCTCCACCGACCTCTGCGAATCTGTGTTTTGCGCGATATTGCGCGACTCAAACCGCGCGATACATTGCCTAGGTGTGCACCAGCCCTTAGGGGTATCATTACCTAGTAATGGCAGCGCAAGTGGGTTGCACACTTTTGATGTGTTCCATGAACGCACATCAAAGCATACAACTTTTTTTACAGCAGGCCTGGAGTGCGGGAGGAAGAAGCAGCAAAACTGGCCAATTAGTACATGTGCTGGCAATGAGCACGCTCTTAGGAGAAAGCAGAGAGAAAGCTGATCACTGTGCTGCTTTTCCGTTCACTGTCCAGTCACAGGCTGAGAGGGGCGGGTCCATGACAGCCGGAGCTCAGAGGAAGTGGGTTGAATGATGCTGGTCGCCATCTTAATGGTGGACAGTTCTGGGATGAAGATGAATATTGCACGGAAAGTTTTTAATGAGATGGTCCAATGGTCCAGGTTCTATGAGGCAGGGGACTCATTTAAATGGCGCCCGACGCCCCTCCAGAGAGGGGCATGGACCGGTGAATATGTTGGGGAGCCATTCAAATGAATGACAATGCAATACGACTAGTACACTGTAACATACGCTAGGTGCGCCGGCTGACTGAATAAAATACCCAGCAAAGGAGATTCCACCATTGACGCAGTTTAACATGGATGGGGGAATCAATCGATTTCCTTTCATTCGGCCCCATGGTGATGAATAAGAGAAATGTAAGCGTGCATGGCTAATATAGATCTGCCATGATGGGCACATGTGCTAGTGCGAATAGCACCCGGGGAGCCAATAATTCTGGTCTGTTCTGGCCGTTTAGCGCTGTTGGGCATTTTTGTGAGGGCGACCATCCTACTAAAATTGATCAATATTAACTAGCGATCAATTGCAAAACATAGGGAGCAATAAAATGTAGCAGAAACTGATTGCCCCCAAATCGGTGCAATCGGTTGCTACTAGCGACGGATATTGATTATTCGCAGGTGGTTTTATAAGCACGATCTGACCTCATCAATACACATTATAAATTCTGATTTGTAAGGTATCTGTTTGGAAGGCCGGGGAATGTATTTATTATAGAGGAAATAGGGGTTTATACCCCGCAGAGGGCCACAGCGGAAGGCTGGGGACACGATGTAATGTAGAGTGTAGGACTGATATCACACACAGCCATGAGCTTCAGGCTGGCACTTGTAGTGCACAGGCGCCTCAGGCAGCCCCCTGTGGCTGGCGTCCTATCAGCCGGCGTCTCCCCGCCCCCGCCCATTATTGGTCGCCTCACGCTGCCCCCCGCTTCCCCCCCTACAGACCGCCTGGTGGATCCGCCCGGAAGTGCCGCCATTTTGGATCCTCTGTGCGCAGGGAGACGGCAAGAGGAGCGTGACCCGGAGACTGAGAGCGGTAAGCGGGGAGGAAGGGAGGGAAATGTCCCCGGGGGTCTCCTCGGTGTGTTACGGGTGTGGGAGTGTCCTCTGCTTCCACGGCGGCCCTATCTTCCCCGGGGTAACGGGACCTCGGAGTCCGCCCCACCCCCCCCTCCTACCGGATAACGGGACCCTCCCCTGGCGGCTGCGGCCTGTCCTGCCTCAGTTACCTCGACCGTACCCAGAGCTGTGCACCATGGCGGAGACCGGCCTTAATCCCTGGCCGCCACTGCGAGACCATTCCCGGCTGTCCACATTGCACACTTCCCTCCCGCTGTTACTGTGTGCCTGTATATACATATATGTTCCCTTATATGCCTCCCTGCTGTCCCTTCCTATATACATGGCCCGTTAGTGTGTGTGTGTGTATATATATGTGTGTGTATATATATGTGTGTGTGTGTATATAACCATCTCCACATGTGTGTGTATAGATAGATTGTTAGCTGTCCCCTCACTTGTGTATGTGCACGCTCTGTATCTACACACAGGTTGCTGTCTCTCGGCCTGTGGGGTGCGCTGGCTGCCCTCAGGCTGTGGGGTGTGCTGGCTGCCCACTTTTCTTGGCCCGGGGGGCCTGCTCTATATCTACACACAGATTGCTTCTCATTATCCTATGCCTGGGGGTGTACTACTGATGGTGCTCTGACTGTCTGCTGTCCTTAGCCTGTGGGGTGCGCTGACTGCCTGCTGTTCTTGGGCCATGGGGAGCACTGACTGCACATTATACTTGGCCGAGGCGTGCCCTGGTTGCCCAGTGTCCTCGTGCCGCGACGTGCGTTTGCTGCTCACTATCCTCGTGCATTGGGGTACACCTACTGCCCGCTGCCCTGGTCCCCCCGGGGTGCGCTGATTGCCCGCTGCCCTGGTCCCCCCGGGGTGCGCTGATTGCCCGCTGCCCTGGTCCCCCCGGGGTGCGCTGATTGCACGCTGCCCTGGTCCCCCGGGGTGCGCTGATTGCCCGCTGTCCTGGTCCCCTGGGATGCGATGATTGCCCGCTGTCCTGGTCCCCTGGGATGCGGTGATTGCCAGCTGTCCCTTCCTCTTTTGCACACATTGTAACCCAAATATCACCTGTCCTCTGTCCCCCACATTTACCCTATAATGCCCGCTGTCCCTGCACTAATACTCAGACTGTCCTCTGCCCTACAACACCCCTCCTCTGCCCCCCGATTCCCCTCCTCTGTCCACAGACCCTGAAATCTCTTCCCCACACTCAGGCTCCATTCACATATGGCGTTTCTGCGTTGAAAACACGTAGAGCTGCAGCTAACGATTATTTTCAAAATCGATTAGTTAGCCGATTATTAAGTTCAATTAATCGGATACAAAAAATAAAATACATTTTAAAAAAATGGCTCCAGTGATGGGACTACTAGTTTGTATTGAGATTGCAGTGCATCACAGGAGCAAGCTTGGAGCGGTGGAAGTAAAAAAGATAGTGTGGTGTGCAATATAGTGAAATGAAAAGTGTAAAATTATACAGCAATGAATGCAGAATGGCACCGGCTATAGAGGACTACAAATCCCAGCAATAGTACATTATGCAGCGCAATGCAGAATACCACCAGCTATAGAGGAATACACCGAATCCCAGCAATAGTACATTATAGCTGGTGGTATCCTGCATTGCTCTGTATAATGTATTATTAATGCAGAATATCACCAGCTATATAGGGATACAACAAATCCCAGCAATACATTATACATACAGTGTACAATGTATTGCTGGGATTTGTATTCCTCTATAGCTGATGGTACATTGCTCTGTATAATATACAGCACAATGTACCATAGCTATAGAGGAATACAAATCCCAGCAATACATTAGGCGTGTGCAGCGTGGATGCGGGTCTGGCAGTGGGGAGGAGGAGGTGTGGCGCGCAGCGTCTGTGGTGAACAGGGCCAGCCAATCGGAAGTCGATTAATCGATGATTGAAAAAGTTGACAACTTTTTCAATCATCGTTTGTGTCGATTAGTTGTTGCAGCCCTAAAAACACGTAACTTTTTAACATACGCGCGCATTTGGGGTTATTACTTTAGCTGCAAACGCGTGGAATCGACCCCAAAAAAACGCGCTTGGACTATTTTGTGGGACCATGCCACGCGTACGCTGCTATAGTCTGAACAATGCACAACGGAATGCATTGTTCCTCATGTTTAGCGCGTTGTGTGAATGGAGCCTTAGATTCCTTTCTGTCCCTGAACAAATGTGCACTGATTACTTGCTACTGCACGCTCCACGATGCCCTTCGGCACTAAACGGCATGAATGGAGCTATCCCTGCTGCTGGCTATTGTATTCAGGAGCTGTGGCACCCACGGTGCTGTCGAGCAGTGACTGCTTCTGATCATTTTCCTCCTGGTTTTTAAGTTGGGTGGTGCTTGTAAGGCCGCCAATGATTAGAATTTGTTCCGATTCCTGCTAAATCGCCCCCAAAATTTCAGCCAGGTATGGCAGCTTAAGACATCCCTCCTCTGTTCCATGCTCATTTACCTCATATAACACTATGTCCCTGTGCCCTATCTCTACCCCACCATGCATGGTAGATCTCCCCATACACACATTGTACAGTATGTGCTGTGCAGAGAAAGAGCATCTGCCTGGCCTTTCTGAGGGATTCTTTGTGTCTTTTTTTGTTATGGCTTTTTTCCTGCATATATTACAAATTCACTGCTGCCTCCCCCCCCTCACCCCCCCCCCGGGGCAAGGTCACTGTCATAGGACATCGCTTTCTGCCAGCAATTTCATGCCTGCTTTCCTGTCAGATTAAAGTATCCCCTCCACCCACAAATAATGCTGCAAGTGTGACTAAACAAGTTATCCCCAGCAACTTGCATCCAGAAATCCTTTTTTTTTCCCCCTCCCTCTTAGGATCAAAAAATAAATAAATTGCTGCCTGCAAAACCTCTCATCTGACATCACCCCAAGGCTGTTTTCTCTATGGTGCTTGGAAATGCGTTCATTCTTCGGTGTCAGGTGGCGGTGTGCCACAGCGTAGTTTTTATAAGTTTTGCTTTTTTCTTCCTGGTTAAAAAATAGAAAATCGCATTCACATGATTTGGATGCTTCAAAGTGACACGAAAATCAGGAGTTCAATTTTAAAAATACATCATTCAAGTATCTCAACTATTAACAATAATGTATCTTATTTGTGTATCACTCGGCTGTAGATCCTCAAATCATCTCTGACTTGGTGCCGACATTGTCCTTCCTTCTGGAGGGGGGCTACTTCTGTTCCCCATGGTCCCTGTATGTGTTGTAAAGTAGTCACTGCTCCAAGCTCACTCCTGTGATGGAGTACGATCTCAGTACAAATTAGTAAAGTAAACATGAGATTGTAGTCCATCACAGGAGCGAGTTTGGAGCGGTGACTACTTTTCAACTCACACAGGGACTTGGGGAACAGAAGTAGCCCCCCTCCAGAAGGAAGGACAGTGTCAGCACCAATTCAGAGATGATTTGAGGATCTACAGCCGAGTGATACACAAATAAGATACATTCTTGTTAATAGTTACAGTAATTGAATGTATTTTTAAGATTGAACTCCTGAGTTTAGTGTTACTGAATTGTCTAAGACTACATTCTACGTGTGCTTCAGTTTAGTCAGTCTTGCAATGGCTCATGGGATTTGTAGTTTCACCACAGTTGGCGGGCTCGAGTTGGTCTTCTCCTGCTATAGAGTGTCACTCTGAGTTTCCTGGGGCTGATGACATCACATTCAGCATGGCGGTTTCCAGCAGCAGTCTCAGGGCTTTGGGATGTGTAAACAAGGGAGGCTTTTGCAAGTTAATGACATCCATAAAATGTTTAATACAAATATGATCTAATAGAAGGTTTTTGCTGAACTAAAGGGACTGAACAGTTGGATCGGATTCCATAAAAAAAATTGTAATGAAAACAGTTTAATGTTTCATATGATGGAGGTTGCCTACAAATGAATGTGGTGAAGTAATAATGTGTCATTTCCACATATTGCTTCGGTTCAGCCTCATGTCAATAACATTGTACATTTCTGCTTTGGAGTTTAAAGGATATCTAAACCCAAGAACAAAATGTTAATATAGAACAGCTTCGCTTTCCTTAGGCCCCGTTCACATTGAGCGATTTAAATTACCGCGCGATATCGCTCTCCAATGCTTCTCAATGGGGCAAAGGGTCGTGTGTGGCTACAGCAGGACCCTTTTTGGAGCGGATTTTGCCGTGATTCAAATGCTTTCAATGAAAGCATTTGCGCGATATCGCGCGGCAAATCTCGCGATATCGCGCAAAATGCAAATCGCGCGACAAACGCGCAATTTGCATATCGCGCAGTGTGAATGGGGCCTTAGATGTGTTGGCTGCATTAAGCTGGCCATACACCTATAGATTATCTGCAGATTTTCTGTGGTCAGATGGAAAAAAGGCAACAGATTCCTCCATCTACGCTAAACTGTGTGGATGGAGGAATCTCCCGCTGGGCCAAGCTTCAGTATCTTGTTAGTCGGCCCCGCTGGCTGTCATAATACCTGAACATTCCCTGCATCCAATCAGCTTGTTCAGGTATTGTGACAGCCAACGGGGCCGACTAGCAAGATACTGAAGCGTGGCCCAGTGGGAGATTCCTCCATCCACACCGTGTAGTGTAGATGGAGGAATCTGTTGCACTTTTTCCATCTGACCATAGATAATCTTCAGATAATCTCTAAGGCCCCATTCACACCTAGGCGTATTGTAATATGCGCGTCTGTCGCGCGACCGTGACACGGTTTTTTACCGCGATTCACGGTAAAAAAAGTTGCGCGATTCCAAAGGCTACTTGGCAGTATCCAAATGGAAAACGCCCTACAAAACGGCCCAAAGTAGTCCCGGGACCTTTTCAGGCGTGGCCCGTTTTGTAGGGCGTTAGGGACGGGCGGAAATACGGCGAGGTGGGAACAAGGGCATTGACTACAATGCAATTTATATTTTTGACCGTTTTGTAGAGCGTTCGTCGAGCGTAGAACGCCCTACAAAACGGTCAGGTGTGAACGCAGCCTAAGTGTATGGCTGGCTTTGGTTTTCATTTTTCAGGCTAAGAACATTTTTAGCAAGTACAGGAAAAGACCCATCGATCGTGTTAAAAATATCAGTTTCCTTGTCACTTCCTGTGAGCTGAACTGAAAGGGACAAACAATGTTATTTCCCTTCTGTAAACTAGTTGCCCCTTTCATGTAATGGAGATGAAGTGAATACGTTTGAAGCTCTGTCTGGTTGACAACCATGGCTTCCTCCATAGATACAGTGGAGTTAATGTAGCCACCCTAGGACAGGAAATTAACATGATCACCAGATAGGAAAAAAAAAACCAATACAGCCACCACATCTAAGGACTGGTATTGTATATTACGGTTATATAATAAATTTTTGTGTTGGCCTTTAGATACAGCTTAAGGGCAAATTCCACCCAACGTAGGGCCCATTCACACTGACGCAATGCGTTTATCGCGCGGTTCTGTGCAATTGATGAACCATAACGCACAATGTGTGTAAACCGTGCAGGAGGTATGATGTGTTGCTAGTCATGTGAATGACGCACCTCCTGCCTACAATGGGATCGATCGTGCTGCAACGTGTCCTGCTGCAATAGCGTGTGGTAAAAAAAAAGAGTAGAGCATGCAATACTTTTTTTTAAACTCAATGCTTTGTATTGTGGTGCGAATGATCACATTGTAGGTGGGAGGTGCTTTGTGGTGCCATTCAAATGGGAAAAAAAACCTCCCCCTGCAGTGTTGACACCCGGTAGGTGCGTTGTGTAATACAATACGTTAATTGCACAGAACCGTTCGATTAACACATCACACCAGCGTGAATAGGCCTTAAGGGTTGGGTGGAATTTGCTCTGTTAAAGGGAAAGCATGGTATTTTTAGAGTTCGAGTATAGAAGCAGCCAGCCGAATGTAAATATCTTCTCAGTAAGTGTTTGTTAATAAACATACATGTACCTGGGCACAGTTATGGTTGTCATTGCATGCGTAGGCTTTTCCTTAGCAGAGTGCTTGTGTTTCTCTGGTATTCTTTAATAGCAGTCACTGAATTGATGTCAAATGCTAAATAGACAGAAGCTTACATACCTGTACATGAAGTATAATCATCAGAATACAGAGCGAAAAAAAAGGAAGTAAAAATGAGGAAGTCTGGACAAAAATGACTCGGATGTTGAAAATATCTGCTCTCTGAAAAGACACTCTAGAGGCACTAAAATTCACCTTGTGGCTTATAGAGATAAGAGGGCTGCCTTTGCTGACTTGTTTCATGCAAGCTCCAGAATTTCATTCCTATACTACTTCTATTACATACAGCATAATTGGCATAGTGGTTAGCACTGGGGGTCCCTGGTTCAAATCCCGGTCAGGACACTTATCGGCACTATGGTTTCCTCCCATACACCAAAGGCATGGTTAATTGGCTCCTGTCTAAATTGGCCCCTCGTATGTATGCATGTGAGACAGGGGCCTTAGATTGTAAGCTTTTTTGAGGGCATGGACTGATGTTAAGTGCTGCGTAAATTGACAGTGTTCTATAAATACCTTGAATAAAGAAATAAAAAAAAATATTACTTGGTGTTCTATCGCAAGCTCCAACTCATCGAAATCTCCAACTACCTCACTTCCGGTGCTCAGAAAGACTGGAGGTCTGTACAGTTGCAGTGCACATTCGCGCATAGCGTTTTCAGAATACTTGTCGAGTTTTCTACCTGCTGAATATTGTTAAAATGCAGCTGTACGGAGCTCTGTGAGTCTTTGTGTTTTGCAGTCTAACGTCGTCTGTTAAAATCTCCAACTTGCAAGTACCCAGCAGTGAGGTAGTTGGAGATTTTGACGAGTTGGATCTTTTGATAGAACACCGTCACTGACGTACATATCTGGTTTCATGATATGGCAGGCAGCAGTCCCCAGACATGGTGGCTTGATTAGTTTTTTTTATGTATGCCTTTTCCCCCTTTATTTTCACCTGGTGATCCTGCCAAAAACCACACTTCCTGTCCTGGAGTGACAACACTCACTCACTGCACTGTCTATGGAGGAGCAGTGTTGTCACCCTAGGCTGCTCTCCTGATTTGGGCTTTAAAAACCCCCTACTCTCCATCTCGGTTACATGGTTAGATCTGGTTGTGTTATTCACATGATGCCTTGGAATGCGGATATCATTTTGAGATTTTCGTACACAGAAATTATCAGGGGTACTGGATTTCTACCAACAGCTTGCATTTTCCTGTTCTTGCAGAAAATGTTCTAGCTAAAGAACATGAATGCAGCCACAGCATCGAAGGACTGGTTAGCTGGAACATATTCACATTTCGGCTTTCGTTTTTGAGATTCTTTAATTATACTCGGCCATTGACGGCTCCCTCTACTGGCCAATCTGGAGATCTCCTATATTTATTACAAAAATATGATTGTGCAAGCATGGCAAAAATGTCTGTCGTGTTCAAAAATATATATTTTAAGGTAAACGTTGCAAAAATAATTCAAAATATGGGCTTATTAAGAATACACTACATTCCCTTGAAACACTTTGTGCTTGGCTAAATCCGCTACACTGCGTCAAATAACTATATTTATTGTCAGCAATGCTCCAAGTGAGTGGTGACATTGTCCTCAGCCCACCGTGCATGTTCTATGTGTTACACAAATCTCCATACATTACCATGAATAAATAGCTCAGAATGAAGTCTGGTAGGAGAGAAGCTCGGTATGAAATGTCCTTTGAATGGAAAAGGTTGTGCGTTCTTGTGTTTTGTGGCCTTCCTCGTCTTTTACAAATGTCTTTTTACATTCCACAGGCACCAATCTGAATATCGGGGTCTCCAGAGCTCCGGGCCACTCTAACGAATTCAGAGAACATTGATGTAAGTTTAATATTTGTAACGGTCCTGTTAGTGTTGTGGTTTTTTAAAATTCCTTTTGCAAAGGAATTGTCGGGTTTGGTCGATACCCCCTAATCTCTTGCTTCATAGGTGGTACATGTTCTTACAGGAATGACCAAAAAATGTTCTGTTCGGTTTCATCCAGGCAGATTTAAACAATTCTGTACAGGAATGTGTTAATGTGGCTCCTTGTTGGACTGTTTTGCACAGCTGCTGTCTTAGGGCTCATGCACACGGACGGACGGCTGAGCCTGTATAATGTGAATACCGGCGTTTTTCCGCCAACTGGGATCCATAGATGCTGCGTACAGCCTACCAAGAATAGTGCAGGGAGGAATTCAGGCGGGAAGCGGTTTGGATCTCGAGGTCACATGAACGGTCCCCATAGCAATGTATGGGATTGTTCATGTCGGCGGATCCGTGCGGCTGAACAGCCCCGTTGTGAACGGGGTTTAATCTCAGGAGTTAAATCTTAAAAATACATTCAAGTACCTTAACTATTAACATAAATGTATCTTATTTGCGTATCACTCAGCTGCAGATCCTCAAATCATCTCTGAATTGGAGCTGACACTGTCCTTCCTTCTGGAGGGGGGCTACTTTTGTTCCCCATGGTCCCTATGTGTGTTGTAAAGTAGCCACCCCCCCAAGCTCACTCCTGTGATGGATTACAATCTCATGTTTAGTTTACCAATTTGTATTGAGATTGTAGTCCATCACGGGAGCGAGCTTGTTGTGACTACTTTACAACACACACACGAGTGAGCTTGGAGCGGTGACTACTTTACAACACATACAGGGACCATGGGGAACAAAAGTAGCCACCCTCCAGAAGGAAGGACCGTGTTGGCATCTATTCAGAAATGATTTGAGTATGTACAGCCGAGTGATACACAAATAAGATAAATTTTTGTTAATAAGGTACTTGAATGTACTTTTCAGATTTAACTCCTGAGTTTAGTGTCACTGAATTGTCTAAGGATACATTCTACGTGTGCTTCAGTTTAGTCAGTCTTGCAAAGCCTCATGGGATTTGTAGTTGTACCTCAGCTGACGGGCTGGAGTTCATCTACCCCTGCTATAGAGAGTCACATGCTTACTGTTCATTATTTTCTTCCTATTTGATAAGAAATTTGTTGATTCTCCCTTATGTTGATATCTGTATATTGGAGATAGTGGTCGGCCTTGAGCTAGTGATATAAACTTTAGTAGTGTATGGATACTATTGGGTTCAGTCAGTCTGATCGGATGAAAGGATGGAGCAGTAAAGGGCAATCGTTGCAGGTGCAGACCTGCTAATCGAAGAGCATTGCATGTGCACGGTAGGTACTGAGTAGATTTGGCTTCCTCTGTATACATATAGAATTAGAGACCCTGCTGCCAGACCATTCATTTAAACAAAAAACCTTCCCATAGCATTGTATGGTAATCACCATGGCAGGCTGCTGGGTTGAAGCAGAGATGTCACCATCTGAGCCCCTGGCAGAGCTGTTATATGATTGACAAAGTTTAAATCAATGTTGACTGGAGTGACACACTGCGTTGAAAAGTATGTGAGATGTCTTGGAATTACATGATCATGGTAAATTCTGTGGCTTCTTTAGGCCCATTCATTTTGTGTGATTTCATTATTGTGCAGCATGTCGTGTGTTGCATTTAAATGGGTTGCCTGAAGCACCAAAACACACACGTGCATGCATCGTTTTTTGCAGCACAATGCATAGTAGTGCCGCAGCACACCAACATGCACAATGTGCGTTCTCATGCATTGTGGTAACACTTGTTACCATTATATAGCAGTGTGCATGCGGCCATATGATTCACTGTCCTATGGCTGTGAATGTGTAGTTTTTCATGTAGACTCTTATTAGTCCCCAGGCGTTGTGGTGCTCATCACTTTTCACAAGTAGTAGTTTTCTAAAAACTGCCTCCAGCATTCATTATAATATTAGAAGGCTTTAAATCTCCTTGACATGCCAAATGGAAAACTGCCAAACCTTTCTATGTTTTTGCCTTTTGAAATATACACTGTGTAGCACATGCACAGTTCATATAACAAGCTGTTAGTTACTTGACTTTTCTTCATGGCATTGAAGTGTATATAGATTTACAGTAATTCCTTCCTGTACCTGATAAGATGATAGACAGCAATGAGTACTTTGGGGGGTTTGGGAGGATTGGGTATGTAAAAGCGGGGTAAGCATTTTGTGGCTGCGGAAGACAGAGCATCAGAGGGATCCGGCACAAAAATTAAACAATAACACGGTGCCTTGAGCAGACATCTTTTAATACATACCTATCCTACTTCCTCTGCTGCCATTCAAAATTTTGCTGGCTGAAGATTTCTGCTGCACCTAACACTTCCAGGAGAGTCAAATGCCCAATTCTCCCCACTACACTCTGTGGTTCCTTCCGCCAGCCACTTGTTTACCACTGTGTCCTGTAGTGACATAATGGGCAGCTGGAATAGCCATAGTGTACAGATGGGGACCAGAAATCTGTATTTCCTGGAAGTGTCAGATGCAGAAAAATCTATAGTCAGCTGACACTTGTGACTATTATTATTGTACAGGATATATATAGCGCCAACAGTTTGCACAGCTCTTTACAATATAAGGAAGACATTACAATCACAATTCAAGACAAGATGGTAAGGAGGGCCCTACCCGTGAGGGCTTACAATATAAAAATGTTGTGTCCGTGGGGGGAATTTATCAAAACTGGAGCAGTTGCCTATGGCAACCAATCAGCTTCTCATTTCCGTTTGTTCAGTTAAGATTTGAAAATGAAAGAGAGAAGCTGATTGGTTTCCATGCACAGCTGCTCCAGATTTGATCTGCTCCAGTTTTGATGAATTCCCCTCAGTGTTTTAGGTTAAAAAAAAAAAAGCGAAATGTGCACTACTGTTGCAGAGCCCCATTATGGGTACAGACACCAAATAATGTTACAGATATGTGGTATGTCAGGGGTAGGAACCTTTTATTTTTGGTGGTGGGTCATGGTGATGGCTAGAAGCATATACAGCTAAAGTTTAAAAAAGAATGTAAAATATTTTGGGCCAGTTTTCCTTTTGATAAAAAACAAAACAAATCAGGAGATATCTCTATTTACCTTTTAAACAAAGGCTCGGTTTGTCCAGGATAAAGAGGTATAATAAAAAGATGACAGTAACACTTCCAGTACCAGGGTGAGAATGCTCGCTCACTGTACTGTATAGCTGGGGGAGCAGCGTTGCCACCCTAGGAAGGACATGGTAGGACTACCGAACTCCCCCTTCATCTCCATGTCATGGAGGAGTGTTCTGTAGACCACAGAAGAGAACTGGGTATGTCGGGTAAGAATGTTGGCAGTGCACTGCAGCACAGACGGAATGCATAGTATGGTTGGAGCTAACTGGATATCTGTCAGGATCAATAGGTATTTTTTATACTTGCAGCATTTGTAAAGAGATAAAACAGGGAAATGTGATGTAGAAATGTACTGATTTCCCTCCAAACGCACTTTACGCCCGGCCTTCTATACAGCTAAGCTGTAACATTTTTTTGCATGTTACCATGGCAGCTCCAGCACATTAAAGGAAAGCTGCACTTAGAGAAATAAGGGTCTGCCATTACCGACATCCTAAAATAACCGGCTTCTTCCTCTCTGCCTGACACCAATTTATTCTGTTTCACTGACCGGCAACTAACATGCAGATTGGAAAGTCACAATGAGTCATTCCCATAAAGAAAGCTGGAGGAATAAGCAAATGCTGGTATGTTAAATGAAAGATAACTAAATTGGGAGCAGTGATGACCCGCCGCATCTGTCATGGCTCAGTCTTTGTATATATGACTTGTAGTAGTCATATTCTCAAAGTGGAAGTCCTGCCATAGCTATGATCTTGTATTGGATCGAGCAGGTTAAAGCCAGCCATACACTTGGTTTTCAGTAGATTCCCCCATCTATGTTGAGCGGCATATTGATGGAAGAAGCTCTGCTGCTGGACATTGAGTTCATGCAGCTGCCTGAAAACCTGAACAGTGACTACATCTGATAGGATGCAGTCACTGCAAGCGGAGAATCTTCCACCTGACTTGGTTAGTTATTGAAGTGACACTAAGAGCCCATTCACACCAGGGCGGTTGCAGATCAGCGCAGTCACTGCGCTGATCTCAAAAGGGAGGTTTTGGGAGTTTTTAATTGCGTTTCAGTGCTGAAACGCAATAAAAAAACGCCCCAAACCGTACTGTTTAGACCGTCTCCATTGAAGGCTGTATGGAAACCGCACTGATGAGTGCTGCAAAAATAGTGCAGGGAGCAGTTCTAGCGAGGGGCGGTTCCGATCGCACGGTTGCATGAACGGTCCCCGTAGCAATGTATGGAATCGTTCAGGTCGGTGGATCCGTGCGGCTAAACCGCCCCGCCCCAATGTGAACGTGGTCTAAACTCAGGAGTTAAATCTTAAAATACACTCAAGTACGCTAACATTTAACAATACTGGACCTTATTTGTGATCTACCGCCGAGTGATACACAAATACCATACATTATTTGTTCACCCATGGCTCGGTTTTCGGTCTGGTCAACAGTAATTGGCTGAATTTCGAGCATGTATGATTAGCCTAAAGGATATCATTGCTATCTGTGTCATTGTTTTGTAGATTTCCTGCACTTATCTCTGACACCGGGACAAGAATGGGGGGTGAGGGGGGGCGGGGCAAAAAAACCTGAAGAAACAGACGGCAATAATATTGGTTTCTAACCTTTACCTCCTGCTAAATAGTGTACTTTGTTCTCTTCCGAATGCAGACAAGTTCCCATCACTTTCTGACACCCTTTCATGGGTCAGTGAGGTTCTAACCCTTCCAAACTCTTTGGACAAAAACAACAATAAAAGCTTCAGCTGGAGTATGTCTTTAAATAATGCGCCGACTCTTGTTGGTACATGACCAGGCTTGCGTTTTATTAAAGTGACAAAGATGAGATATATATATACCCCGC